TGAAAGGTGGGGAAGCACAGCCACTGCCTCACTGCAGATTGAGGCACCGACCCCATTTCTTCATCCCCGAGGCCTGTGCTCTGCACTGAGGCCCATCCATGGCCTGAGCCACCTGTCCCTCTGGGTTAAAGTGCCCCCAGGGCCAGTTTTCCATGGACTGGGCATTCTCCTTGGGGCACAGCTGGCTCTGGGACCTGTTTGAGGCAGCAAACCGGCAGTCACAGTCAGCATGAATGTTTTATCCTGCTGTCAGTCCCCCCAGGAAGGTGCTGGGACAGGCTGGGAAGGCACTAAAGCTCCCTATTAAAGCTAGATTAAGAATTAAATTAAAACGGAATTCAATTAAAACAATTTAAAAATATTAAAAGGTAATATTATTAAATTATTAAATTATATAACTATATTATATATAATTATATAAAGATATAAGATGTAATATATAATATTTAATATATTCAATATAATTATAAAAATATGATATATAGATATAGAAAGATGTAATAAATCTTATAAATTATAAAAATATATTAATGCTATTAAGATAGTGAAATCACACTATTTAAATATTAGAAATAATAATGAATATTAATTTTTTAAAAAATTAAATTAAATTAAAACAAAATGAAAGAATTTAAAGAATTAAAGCAGAGGCTGTCTGGCAGCCCGGCCCCGCTCACCCTCACACCGCGCTGACCGCGGGACGGGACCGGGACCGGGACCGGGACCAGGATCAGGACCAGCCCGGCACCACCACGGCCCCTCCAGATTGCCATCCTGGGCCGTTCGGGCACACCCGTGTCCCATCCCAGCCCCATCCCGATCCCATCCCGGTCCCATCCTTATCCCATTCAGTGTCTCATCCTGTGTCCCATCCCGTTCCCACCCCATGTCCCATCCCGTGCTCTATACGAGTCCCATCCCGGTCCCATCCCGTTCCCATCCCGTATCTCCATCCCAAGCGCATCCCGCTCCCACGCGGAATTCCCGGGAGCCCCAGGCCCCGCCCACTCCTCGCGTCCCCGCCCACCCCATCCCACGGACCAATCCCCTCAGCGCTCCCGCTGACTGACAGCAGCACGCCCGGCCCCACGCAGCCGGCTCACAGGGCGGGCACTGCTGTCAATCACTGTGAGCGACGGGCAGAACAGCCAATAGAAGACTGTACATCGCGCGGGGGGCGTGGCGTGTTCCCTATGACCCCGCCCCCTGCCCGCGCGCCTGCTCCGCCCCGCCCCCTGGCGGCCGCGGGGAGGGCTCTGTGTCGGCGCTGCGGCAACATGGCGGGCAGGGTGAGTGTGAGGGGTCGGAGCGGCCCCGTGCCCTGCCCCGCTCCTCTGACCCGCTCCTTTCCCCCTGCGGCTCCACGGGCTCCTCGCAGCCCCTCCGGGTCCCCTGGGGGTGCTCTGCGGTTGTGGCCACCCTTCCCCTCGGCGGTGTGGGGGGCTCTATGGGTCCTGTGAGGGTGTGGGGACCCCCCGCCCCGGCCGTGTGGGGGGCTCAGGGTGACCCCTGTCGCTGTGTTTTCCCCTGAGGCTGAGGGGGGTGGCCCTGTGATGATGTGGCGTGTGGGACAGGGCTGTGGGTTCCCTCGGCCGTGACCCCTCTCCCTGTGGGCAGGGTTTGGGGTCCCCGGGGCCGCTGCGAGGTCGGGGTGGCCCCTTGCGGGTGTAGGGGGTGGGCACTGCACCGGGGGGATCCCTCAGGATCCCTGTGGGACCAGGGTGACCCCTGTCCCTGCGTGTATGCGGCAGGATTTAAGGTTCCCGTGGGGTTTCCATGGGGTTGCAGTGGCCCTGTGGGATGCAGGGCAGGATTTTGGGGTGTTCTGGGCGTGCTGTGGGGCTCTGGTGACCCCTGGGTGCTGTGGGGTGAGTGTTTAAGGCTTCCTGGGGGCACCCAGAGCTTGGGGTGACCCCTTTCCTTAGCGGGTGTGGGGCAGGACCGTGGGGTCCCCCGAGAGTGCAGTGAAGCCCTGGTGGTCTGGGGGTGCTGCTCTCAGGATTTAGGGTGCCCTGGGGTGCTCTGGGGCTGTGGTGACCCCCTCTCCCTGTGGGCTGTGGGGCAGGGACCTCCAGGGATGCTGTGAGGGAGGGGGGTGACCCCTTGGTGGTCTGGGATGTGGGGCACGATTGTGGGATTCCCTGAGCAGCCTTTGTGAGGGTGGGTGCCCCTGTTCCCTTCGTGAGGATGGGGTGTGTGGGTGGATTCTGGGGTGCCCTGAGGGTGCTGTAAGGCCCCAGTGACCCCTGGGTGCTGTGGGACATGGGGAGATTCGCTCCTCTGCCCTGCGAGGACCAGCCAGGCACAGTTTTGTGATGTGGGTTCACGTCGTGCTGGGTAAAAACCCCTCAAGGGTTGTGCAGTGGTTTTGTTCCTTATTTATTTAAAAACTAAAAGATCCCTTACTGGCCACAGATCACATCAGGAAGTGGCCAGAAGAGCCTTAAAATGTGAAGGCCCAGCCTTGCCTGTGGAATCCCTTGCCGTGGTGCCCTGTCCATCCCCTCTGTTGCAGGTGTCCGGGTGCTGCAGGATGTGTTGGGATCGCTCTGCCCTTTGCCAGGAGCTCAGTCATGCTTTGCTGGATATCAGCCTGGGAAAGTCACATTTTTCACTGCCTCCAGCTGGAATCTTGTCCCTTGGCCAAACAATCGAGGGATGGAAACCTTGGAGAATCGTTTCTTCCGAGTGTTTTCGTGCCGTGTTTGGGTGGTGGCGGGAGGGCAGCTGGTGCAGGGCTGTGCTGCAGAGCAGGGCTGAGAAGTCTGGCCCAGGGACGTGCTGTGCATCACAGGTGCTCCAGAGCCACCCCAAAATGTGCTGAGTAATTGGGGAAAAACCCCGTATTTTGTGCTCTGTCTCTTGTTTAAAGAGCTTCTGCTCCACATTCCTGGTCTCACTTCCTCCCTTGCACCTTTTTCTTTGTCTCACCCTTTGCACCAGCCCAGGGAAAAAAATGTGTGTGCCCTGAGTGGCTTTTTTTTAGCTTTCTGTGTCCCCAGTGGGAGCCCAGAGCTCTGGTCAGGGGCAGGATGATTTAACCCAGGCTGAGCAGGGTTCTGAGGCTCCCTGAAGCCCAGCCCAGCCTGGCTGCAGTGGTGCTGCCTGGCCCTGCTCCCCTGAGCCCTCCCAGCCCTGCTGGGTCACCAGAGAACTCTCTGTGGCTTCAGGAGTCTTCGTGTCCTGAGTGCTGGGGCTGCTGACTGGGGATGTGGGCAGGAAGGAAAAGGATCAGCCCCGACCCCTCCTGCTGCTGTGAGCTTTGGTGCTGCTGAAAACCTGAAAAAATGTGCCTTTATTTGGCCAGCTTGGAAGGCTGATGGAAGAAAGAGGGATCTATGCAAATTTAAGGGAAAGATTGGTGTTCACTTGCCTCCTAATCTGGCAGTTTGATGGGTGATGCCCTGCTTGGGTTACCAGGAAGCTTCTTGCTGTTGAGTGTTTTCACGATTTACCTTCAGACGCAGCTGTTGCAGAATCATCAGGTTATTTAACACCGTGAGGAGGGTTCTTAGGCTGAATTTTCCATCTCGTTCTCCGAGCTGGATCTGATCCTTTGGAGTGTTGAAGCTGTTGATGGGAGCTACCAGAGGAGCTGCCCCTGGGAAGGGTGAGGAGTCAGGGAGAGCAGGATGGATGTGTCCCTGGAGCTGTGTGACCCCGTCTGTAAATGAGGAACAGGCAGTGGGGGTGTGTGAGAGCTCTGTGCACGCAACAGGTGAGGCTGATGCTGCAACACCGATGCTCTCCTGTTGTCAGCGTTTCTAACAGGTGCTTAAACCTGTTCAGGAGCTTCAGTGACTCCTCCTGCCCTGCAAATCTGTGCTGCAAATGTGATTCAGAGCTTAATCCCTTTTGCTGGGCTGGTGTGGGTCGATTTGTGCACGTGCACCCTCACGGGGAGAAAGGAATGGCTCTCGTCAGGTGCCAGGGAGACAAAATATTGAAACTTGGTGTAACAGTTGGAATAATTTAGGGGAGTGATAAGCCAAATGTGATTAATTGTGGTGCTGTTTCAGGTGTGTTGCTCTGCTCCCCTAATTGCACCGGGTTCCTCCATGGCGGGGAAGAGACGGTGATTAGCAGTGATTGAAGTTTACAGGAAAAACAGTTTATGATGATTAGAAATAATGGCTGTTTCTGCAATAATTTATTCTGGATCTCTCTGCATGGGAATCATTAGGCACACAGGCAGAGCAGGGAGGCTTAGCAGGGCATCAGCCAGAGGCTGCTGCAGGAGAGGCAGTGTTGGGAAGCTGCTGTGTCTGATTACTGATCCCTTGTACCAACGGGACCCCTGGAAGTTCACTGGTACTGTCTGTGCCTAATTGATTGGAACCTCGTTAGGAATTAGTTCCCAGAGGGACGTGAAGAGGCCAGATTGACTTCTGTGCCTGGTACCAGCCAGTGTGGGGCCGTGGGTCCAGCAGGAGGCTGGTGTGGGGCAGGGAGGCAGGGCAGGTCCCCCTGGCAGGTGGGGCAGGCTGCTGCTCCTGTGGCAGTGTGCATCCCCACCAGAGACACTGCTGTGGTGGCCTGTAAGGAATATCAGATTTGTGGAAGCTGAACTGGTGCAGCAGTTGGTGGTGACTGAAGTAGTGGCTGGTTTTAGGGTATCATCAGTGTAACCCTTCCAATTTCCTTTCCTTTCTCTGCTCTTTGGGGCTCGTTTGGAGCAGCGTTGCCTTCAGCCCAGTCACGGCACTGCCCTGTTTGTTCTCATATTGCCGTTGCACTGAGTTGGAGATAGTTTGGTGTCACTGCTGGGTGTTGTCTCACCTGCAGAGCAGGGCTCAGAGAGCCGAGGCTGAGAAGAAAGGTCTGTTGATACCAACTGTTAGAGTGTAGCAGGAGTGGGTGGGGGACAGGCCCTGTCCCTGGTGTTCAGGCTGCTGAAGGCATTGCTGGGCTAACCCTGCTCCCCTGTGTCCCTGCAGTCATCACAGAGTCACGGAATGGTTGGGCTTGGAAGGACCTTAAAGCCCATCCATTCCTGGGCAGGGACACCTTCCACCAGCCCAGGTTGTTCCAGCCTGGCCTTGGACATTCCAGGGATCCAGGGGCAGCCACAGCTTCTCTGGGCAACCTGTGCCAGGGCCTGCCCACCCTCCCAGGGAGGAATTTCTTTCTAACATCTAATCTATATAATATACCTGAACCAGCGCTAGGCAATAAATAACACGTGGCTTATCGTTGGCTTAAATTATTTAAAAGTGTTTCAAACCCAAACAGAACAGTTTGAGCTTGGGTAGCTTGGTAGAGCCTTTGAAAGGATGAGGGTTGGGGTTTATGTTTATGGGTTAAAGCTGTAGGGTCTGGTTTCTGATGACATATGGAAGCATCCCTCAGAGCTGCAGGCGTCGTCAGGCAACTGGAGAAACGTTTGGGAATCAACTGGGTTCCTTCTCGCAGCCTGCACTGAGCCTGCCAGCATCACTTAGCTTTTTTTAGTGTTTCCTAATGTGTAATATGAAGAAATAGATGTGTAGCAGTGTTTTTTGGGAAATGGGAGATGATAACTCAATCTCAGCCTGTGTTTCTGAGATCACTTCTGCAACCCCGTATACCTGTCCTGTGAAACCATCTGAGATGGACTTGTGACCTACTTGTAGGGCTCCTGCCTTTGGAAAGCCCTTGCTGAATCAGAATAGAGTCACATAGATTATTAGAATTTAAAAAAAAATCTAAAATGATTTAAAATAAAATGCTGATAAGAGTGTGACCATGTGAATGTTTGTGGGCACAGGATATCTGACCCTGTCGCCTCTGATTAATTTATTGCCTGTCTTGGTCTTGCAGAAGCAGCATGTGCTTAAAAACTCAGTGCAGTAGGGAGATGTCTGTTCTGCCTCCCCACCCCCAGTTTTGAGGGGTGCTGGTACCTCTTTACTTATGTGGACAGGCCAGGATGATTAAATTTAGTTCAGAATTTTTCTTAGTAGGAAAAAAAAAAAACACCTGTAAAAAAATCAGAGAATCCTTTTGAGGATCATTTCAAGTGGGAATTTCTGAAGTATTACTTTTTTAACCTTTCTTTTCCCCCACAGTACTGCAAGATCTTGTCTCTCCCTCTCCTGTTCTGTGTCCTGTGCCTCAGAGCACAAAGGTCACTCAGGACAAGACCCTGTGGCTCAGGAGGGTGAATTGTGTCATAAAATCAGATCTGTTTGAGTCTACACAAAACCAGTCCCTGGAAAGCAGTGACTATTTTATATATCCCATTTTACTGAATTACCCAACAGGCAGGACACAGTGCAATGAGATCAGCATTGATCCCTCTGTTTACGTC